ACCGATGTGTGCACATCCAGGTTCTGAACTTGCTGCTCAAACTTGTCCATCACTGCAGAAACTTTCTGCAGGTCCATGGCACTCAGCGCCTTGTCCAGGGCCTTGGTGACCTGGGCCATATTCTTTGTCACCTAGGACAGAGGAGGAGGTCAGAGGCAGGAAGCATCTTGGGGACAGGCTTTTAGAGTGCCTAATTCAATCCGTAACATTCCACTCTCTGGGAACCAAAACTCAGGTTCCTGCCACGTGCATTTAGCCTATCACATTGTCCTCAGTCTGAAATCAATTCCAAGTTCCAACACTCACCTTCTGATCTGTCTCCATTCAGTAGGCGTCCTCTACCATGGGAAAGAATCCCTCTTTCTCTGTGAATTTAGGCTACACGTTATCTGCTCCCAAAATGTGATGTGGGGTAAGGACAAGGGAGATGTTTTCCTTACAGACAGGAGAAGGGGCAGACAAGCACAGTCAAGCTCCCGTGGACACTTCCTATTAGCTCTCAAAGCCTGAAAAGAATCCCCTGCTCTCAGACCATCTGGGCAATGGCGGTGCCCTCTCGACTGGCCACATCCTCTGCATTGAGTAGAATTCCCTTGGCCCTGGGCTTCAGCTGAGAACACTACTCTGCTCCGTCAGCCTGAGATGGCTCCACTGTCTAGCCCTGGCAGGCCCCGTCCATCCGTCTGCTCCTTGACATGGTAGCCCCAACCCCTCGGCTTTGGGGGTGGTCTCGTCCCCAGGCACACTGAATGAGCAGCCTGCTCGGGATCCTGGTGGGCAGAAGTCCTCTGAGGCCGTCCCCCTCGCCCCCCCTTTGTTGTTCCTTCGAGCAGCTCTGCTGAGCTCCATGGAACTCCATGGACAGCCCTTCCTTTCTTGGAGGGCAAGCAGGTACAGCTCCTCTGGTCTGTTTCCTGCCTGGAAAACTCCAAGAGGCAGCGAGCGTCCCCTCCCTTGGTTCTTCCTCTGCCCGATCCGGGTTAAGCCGATGGGTCTGCTGTTGGTTATATCCATCAGTCCCAGCTTTCCTTTTTTAACGAAGAGCTATGTCACCATGTCTTTGGTGAGCAATGTAGGACACGTGTCCTTAGTTTGTACACAGGGTTTTCCAAACCTTAGGCTCTGTTTTCATTTGCACAGTTCGTTATTAAGTTTCTGTCCTCCAGGTGTATTATAAGCAGCAAGAAAAAGTCAGGCAGGCCCTTTAATACTTTGTTTGGGAAGTTCTTCAGTCAAGTACTTTAGTTCGTCACTTACAAGTTCTACCTTCTACCAAACATCTGAAGCAATGCCCACAAGATCCTCACCACTGCGTACAAAACACCACTCTTCCAACACCATCCAATCATGTGTTCACCACCTCCTTTGAAAGCCTCCCCAGAGCACACCGCCCGGCCACATTGCTGGAAACAGTCTGTGCTGGTGCTGGCTCCTCCTCTCTTCACCTCTGAGCTCACTGGAGGCCTCTGATCCTGCAGTTCTCCCGACGGTCTCTTCAGAGCACTCTGGACACTGGGCTGGACTTCACCTCACTGCCTCTGAGTCCATTCTGACCCTTAGGACAGCGGGGAACCGACCTGTGGGCTTCTGAGCCGGAAACTCTCGATTGGAGTAGAAAGCCCCATCCTTCTCCCAAGGAGCAGCTGGTGGTTTCAAATTCCTGACCTTGTGGTTAGCAGCCTGGAGCATAAGCACTAAACCTCCAGGGCCCCACCTCTTACTATAAGGCACCCGAGCACTTTGCCGAGAAGCCTCTTCTCACAGTCCAGGTTGGAGGTCCAGATTCAGGGTGCCAGCTCCATGGGAGCCCCTGGAGAACGGTCCTGGTCCTGGGAGATCTCCGAGTCTGGGCAATTCTCTCATGCACTTCTCTCTGCTGCCTCATCCGCTCTCCTGGATCTCTAGAGAATGACTTGAAGACACCCAGCCTAACCCTGCCCATTAGCACAACCCAAACCAGAACCCAACCAACAAAACCCAGTTCCTGAGGGAGATTACACTCATGGGCACTGAGATCAGGATTGACAGCACACATTTTGGAGAGCAGAATTCAATGATCAACAGTGGGGCCGCCCAGGATGGGCCCTCCAGCCTCCTGTGCCAGTTTCCTCCATTGGTTCCTGCTGAAACCCAGGCAGGACCCCCCCAGGCTCAGGGACACTGAGGCTGTGCACCCGCTCCCTGTAGTCAGCGCCCCAGAGACCAAAGGGTGCTACGGGTTCTGCCAGTGCCATGAAAGGGTCCCCTTGCTAGCCTTCTGACCCCGAGCCGCCCTGGCCTGGTCACTCACCCCCTTCATGGTCATGGCTGTCTGGACCTTGGAGGCCACAGCATCCACTCGAGAGGCCATGCGCAGGCAGTTCACCCCCTCGTTCTTCTTGCGGATAGCGTTCTCGGCGTACACGCGTGCACACTCCACATTTTTCTGCTGCAGGGCCTGGAGTGCAGGGAAATGCCAGCTGGGAGGGAGGAGTGAGCCAGTGGTGGTCTTCACATCTGCTGGGCTCTCCCACAGGGGCTGGCCCTGACTGCCACCGTGTCCCGCCCGCTGGGAAATGCCAGGGCCCCCTAGAGCTAGCAGGGGCCCATGAGGCAGAGTCACTCCCACACCAGCTGCAGAGGGGCCACTGGAAATCCCGTTGAGGAGACCACCACCATACTGCCCAGAGGAAGGACAGTCCAGGGACAGGGCGGGAGCACAGGCCTCCCGAGCCCAGGCTGCGCCTCACCTTCTTCACTTTGGCCTGCTCCGCCTTGGACTCCTTCTCCGCCTTCTTGGCCAGTTTCTCCAGCTGCTTTGCTGTGAACTGAGGGCAGGCCCGTGCTGGTCAGAGGCAGAGCCTGGGGGCAGGGCCACCCTCAGGGGCTCCTCCCAGGCACAGGAAGGGCCTGGGCACTGAGGCTGCCCGGGGGTCAGGGGCAGGAGGGGTTCTCCAAAGTCTCTTGCCCACACACACCCTTAAATCAGAATAAACGCTGTTGGAACGTTGGCCTGGGGAGAGATGGGCTCCCAGATCACTAGACAAGGGTGCTGTGCAGGCTATAGCATGGACCCTGGAAGGGGGAGCCTCCCAGTACATCCTGCCCCCCATGCTGGGCTGGGGGGCACCCTCAGCTCTCCTCCCTGGACGGCCCTGCTGACCCCAGAAGGGAGCCACATCTAGTGTGTAGTGCCGCAGGAAGCCCAGGAACTGAATGCCACAGAGCACCAGGAGAATGTCTCCTGCCCAGCCCCTCCTCTGAAGAACAAACTCCCCACCCCCATGAAGCTCCACCTGAGCCCACTCAGGCTACCCATGAGCTCCTGGTAGCTAAAAACGCGAGCTATTTTTATGTCAACATCGGCTACATCCACGTCGTCTTCTTCCTCCAAACTCTCCAAGTCTACAGATGTGGCCACTCCAGCCTGTGGTATTTAGAATAAAGAATCCCAGTGGCAGGTGCACTTGGGCAGCCTGTGGAGCACAGCATCGCCCCACCCGATCCTCCAGGTACTTCAAAGCAGGCATTGGTTTGATGGAGCCTGGGGAGCAGGCACAGGCAGTCAGCAACAGCGCTGTGCCCTCCTAGGGGCCCCGAGGCCACAAGCCTGGCCCCCCTGACAGGGCACTCTCCACCTGCCCACTCCTGACACCAGGGGGCAGTTCTATGCCGGTGCCCACCTTGCCTGGCCAGATGCTCAGAAGCAGGGGTGGGGCCGATGAAGCTGAATGAGAATGATTAACTGGGGGCCCTGGGGAACCGGTCAATGAGACAGCTTTGAGCCCCAGCAATGGCAGAGAGAGCACTCTCCTTCAAGTGTGGCAGTGGGGGTGGGGGGGCAGCTTCTGCAGGCCTGGTGGAGCCAGGAAGACACCTGGTGCTCGGGCGTGCTGCATCACAGACAGCCAGCCGACTGCATCTGCTTCCACTGCCTGAGACACACACGCCATCAGCCAGCTCACTGACCCCTCGCAGGCAGTCAGACCCTGAAGGGCATGGTGTCAGTCGGCTGGCTGCCAGTCTGTCCCATTCTGCATTCCTCGACAACACAGGACTCATGCTCATCCGTCACAGGACAGGCTGGGAGTGGTCACTCGGTACGTACCTTCAGCTGGAACAGGTTATCTGTAACAGAAGAGGACGCCTGTGAGGGTTTGGGAGACTCCCACCACACGGAGTCCCTGTGGCCCCCAGCCATGTAGGCAGAAGCAGGGCCCCGTCAGGGTGACCAGGCCTCCAGGGGCCAGCACTACAGCAGGTGCATGAGGTCCTCGAGCCTCTGGTTACTTTCCACTTGTTGCCGGTGAGCTCGGGAAAGAACATGGCACTCATTCCCTGTGATCCTCCCAGTCAAGGCTCCTTTACCAAAAACCAAAACCAAGCTCAGTGCTATCGAGTCAATGCCGACTCACAGCGACCCTGTAGGATGAGGTCCAAGCTGCCGCTGTGAGATTCTGGCTCGTTACGGGGTAGAAAGCCCAGTCTTTCTCGCCGTTTTAAAGGACCTGCAAAATTCTCCCCAACTCCCAGGGGCTCAGCGATTTCCTGCCATTCTTTATAGAAAAGTCCTTCCCAACAACTCTGACTTGGCCTTTCATGCTTCAGGAAGTTCCCCCACTTTGAACGAATCCCTCTAAACCCGAACCACACCCACTGCCGCTGAGTCCATTCCAACTCAAGGAGTCCACGTGAGTAGCTGGTGGATTTGAACCACTGACCTTTGGGTTAGCAGGCAAGCATTTTCAATACTTTCAACCACTGTGCCACTGGGGTTCCCTAAACCAACCTTGACTCAAAACAGATCCAACTGGAACCTTCACTTGATGCCCGGGCAGCTTCCAAACCATTGAGAAGAGGCTCCAAACCTTTCTTGCGCCAAACTCCCTGCCACCGAGTTGGCTCTGACCCAGTGACCCCACAGCAGAGACCTGCTCCGCAGTGTTGCCGAGACCACAGGCTCTTATTTGTGTAACAAACGTGTGAACTGGGTGAAGGCTTATAAATGAGATCATCATGTTGCTTCATCTTATTCCCTGCAGTTCCTCCCGGTACCACTGCCTTCCACAGCCTCCACCCCGCTTCTCCTTAGCACCTGGGAGCTCTAGCAGGTGAGTACTCCACAGTGCGACACCTTGCTGCAGTTAGTGTCCCCCTTTAACAACCTGTCTGTTATTTGGCTACAAACTGAGCCACCTGAAGGTGGACTAGTCTCAGGGGTCCCACCAGTCTCTGTCCAATCTGGCTGCCTGATCTTTTGTGGATTTGAGTTTTGTTCCACCTTTTTCTCTCACTGTCAAGGACCTTCCTAATGTGCGATCTTTGAGAACAGTTGACAGTGGGATCAGGTGCCATCTAGTTCTTCTGGTCTCAGGGTGACTCTACATCAGTGGATCTCGACCTATGGGTCACTAACTCTTTGGGGGTCGAATGGCCCTTTCACAGGGGTCACCCGATTCATCACAGTAGCAAAATTACAGTAATGAAGTAGCAATGAAAATAATTTTATGGTTGGGGGTCACCACCACATGAGGAACTGTATGAAAGGGTCACCGCGTTAGGAAGGTTGAGAACCACTGCTCTAAATGCTTACAACGATGCAGACAGCATCATCTTTCTCTCAAGGAGTGGCTAGTGAGTTTGACCACTGACCTTGCTGTGAGTATCCTGGTGGCTAACCTATGATGCTCCCAGGGTTCCTTCTTGTCCTAAGTCACTGCCATCAAGGCTGCTGATTCATAGCAACCCTGTAGGGCTGAAGAACCACCACATGGAGTTATTAGGACTTCCTACACATATCTGAAAGTGACACTTAGGAAGAGCTCTCATGTGTGCCCAAGGGCTGTCTGTGCACTGTCTCTTCTCAAAGGCCCATGGACGGCACAGCAGGGCGGTGACTCTCCTGCTGCCCTCCAAGGGTGCAGGCGGCCTCCACGGCATGAACGCAGGAGCCTGACTGAGACTTAGAGGATTTTTGTGAAAACTCCCCGGGGACTCAAACTCTTGCTCCTCACCCACCAAACTCAAAAGCAAGCCAGGGCAGGTCCTCACTCATTTGAAAACTATCGCCATTCACTTAATTCCTAAACCTGGAGAGTCAGGGACACCTATGTTTTCAAAGTGTTCACCATACTAACCAGATGAGGAAATGAAAACCAAAATAGAGGTGCAGAGGGTTTACAAACACTGAACTCTGGAGAGCAAGAAGTTTAGGGCAAAACCTAACCCTGGAGAAAATGGGTCAGAGACAAGTTGCCTGAAGAGTGGAGTGAACTTTGGAGCAAGAAGCCCGCCCATGCGCAGCACATACTTTTCCTAGGAGCAGAGCGTAGGGTGGTATCTTATTCTTCTTGCTGGGGCAGTTTGGATTTATGACAATAACAGGGGTGTGCAGCTTTGTACGTTCCACGAGGTATCCCTCTACCGCGGCTGTCCAACTCATTTTCGCAAACATGGGCACCTTCATTATACAACTGACTTTCGGCTCTCTGGCACCTCTCCAGCCACCACCCCAAGCCGTGAGCACTGAGCAGGCAGTTGGGGCGCCTGTGCCGTCAGTAAGCAGGTGCGTGGAGCCCATGGGGGTGCACTGACGCTCTCAGGGAGGCTGGGGTGAGCGCCGTGCCAGTCACCCTTGCTGAGACAGCAGGGCCAACCGGCCGCACCCGTCTCCCTCCTTGGCTGCCCTCTGACCCTAAACTCCAGTGGCCCAAAGGCCAGCTGGGCATCGTCGCCGGTCCCCGGGCCCAAGCTCCCGTGGGCTGGGGGAGAGGGGCGGGGCTGGGTTTGACGACGGGGCCGAGTCGAGGCCCGAGGGGGGCAAACGTCGCTGTGAGCCGTCGGATGGCCGCCAGAACCCTCCCCACGACCCCACGGTTAGCAGCGGAAGAGGAGGTGCCATCTCCGGCTTTCATCGGGTGCGGGGGGCCTCTTACCGTCCATGGCCAGTGCTGGGCGGCGGCGCCCCTTTAACGAGAGGAGGGACGAGACAGGGGATCGGGGATGCGACGGTCTCGGCTACTACGGCTCCGCCCAGCGAGGACTTCCGGGGCTGTCTTTCCGTTTCCGGTTCCACGGCCTGGTCACGCCAGTGGCGGGAGTGCCGGCACGTGGGCGGACTGCTCCCCCGCGGGCCGCCAGGGGGCGCGCGCAGAGCGGGAGGAGGGAGGGGCTGCGAGCCGTTGCCGTGGTGACCTGCGTCCGGCGTCTGACTTCCTGCCACCCTTTGGCCCAGGATGGGGGTCTCCTTTGTGAGTCACAAGGGGCTGGCGCCCGCGCAGAACGCAAGTGCAGGGACTCGACCTGCGCGGGCGCCAGGGCTGCGGGCTCATCTATGGGACTTTCCAAAAGTAAACAGAAAGCCAACCAAGGTAACGAGCCAGGACCCGCGGGCCCGTCGCCGCAGATGCAAAGTGGATGGACTCCGGACCGTGTACAAGTGACCCCACAGCTGCCATACCGTACGTTGAGCCATCTGCAGGGGTCAAGCTCCCAGTCTGGCGCAAGCGTTTCCGCACTTCAGTCCTCTGTGGCGTGGGAAGCTAAGGACTTCCCTACCCAAATGCCTGTGTTGTTGATGGGCAAAGAATGACCTGTGTGTGTGATTCTGGACCCAGACAGGCAGCGGCAGGAAGATGGGACCCGTCGCCTTGGACTCAGTAAACCGTAGTCTATCCATATATTTCAGGTGAGGCGGAGAGGAAGGGGACTGCCTATTCCAATCCCAAATCTAAGGAGAAGCCGCTGGAGAGGGCCTCCCCTGAGCCCAGGCAGGCAGATAGGAAGTCTCAAGACACCACCCCTAGGTCTTCAGAGACCCCCTACCAGAGGAAAGTGACATCCAGACGCCAAGGGCCTTCTGCTTCCTACGAGGTTGAAGGTAGGGGACACCTGGAGGGGGGCAGAACCTGAGGCTTACACTACTAGGAGTTTGGCAACCTATTTCTAAGACCCGCGTGACAGGGTACTAGTAGCAGAGACAAAGGAAATAATGATTTAGGATGTTGGAGGGCAGCTTCCTCAACTTTAGGCAAGTCTCCAGATGGCATACACAGCCACTGGTCACAGGGCGGAGTCTGCAAGAAAACATTGAGCCAGGAGGGGTGGCTGAGTTCAATGTCCTTATGATCCTGTCAGCACCCTCAACCGGACTGGAGCTCAACCTGGGAGAAGGTTCCAGCATGGGTGTGGGTTTGTGGCTAGAGTGCTGAGGGGAGCAGGTCAGAGGAGAACTAGGTAGGACACAGTGGGACCAGCATGTTGCAAATGCTGTTGGAAAAGTGAACCAGTTTCTTTAACAAATAACTCAAACTCACGGCCATTGAGTGGACTCCAGCTCTTCAGGACCCTGAAGGACAGGGTTTAGAACTGCCCTTCTGCATTTCCGAGGCTCTTTATGGGAGCAGAAGGCCCTGTCCTCCTGAAGAGCCCGTGGTGTTTCCAACTACTTGTGAGAAAGCAGGGGGCTTTTGCAAAGAGATGAGAAGCTATGCCAACCATAGACAGTGTGGGGCTGAGCTCAGCAGACTGGGAGTAAGCGAAGAACCATGGTTGATGTGTTTGGATGTGATGATGTCTTTGCAGTTGTCTTAAAAAAAAATCCTTATCTGACAGACATATACCGCAGTATTTCTGGGTGTAATTGTGTGATGGCTGGGGTTTGCACTACAATACTAAGGGAAAACAAACTAAGCGAAGCAGACACAACAGAGAGACAAAGTCATGATGGGATCTGGGTCGAGGAGTTCTCGGGATAGGATTCTACTTTTTTATGTGTTGTAATATTCCAGCTACGTAACTGGCCTCATGGGTACTAAGTGAGCAACAAAGCAAGTCGCACAACATCACCAGCATGGCTGCATGTTTGTCAAATACATGTGACCATGAGCATCCCACCGCCTCCATCTTATCTCTGACATACCCACACATGTGCAGCCATTTGGCCTCTGGTGGTGCCCCAGACCTTCACAGTGCTTGCCCCTCAGGAGCACCAGCATGAAGGAGCTCAGGGACATTTGTCTTTTGTGGAGAGGGGGGAGGGAGCTTTTGTCTTTTATAACATTCAACATGCTCGAGTTTTCACAGGTCCTGTGTGTTTCCTGTAACCTTCAAACATTTAAGGAAAAAAGTGGCCATAACAGATGTGTCCACTTCTAAAGCCTGCTGGCCAAAAAGTTTTGTAGAGAGAGCTTTCAGCAGCATTGGAATCCTCTGGGAATTGCACACTGATCCCTGACACATCCCCTCCATCCCTATCTGCCCTCCTGATGCCAGCTGGTCACGGACATGTGTGTGTGTGTATTTCCTGCTTTCTTCCTCGGAAGAGGCTCTGTCTTACTAATGACCTGGTGACCAAGAAGGTCTCTTGCTCTGGGTGTCCAGGTGTGTTCGTGGCTGCTTCCTTCTTTGCCTGCTTCCTTTCCTGCTATGCAATTCATGCAGCTTGTTCTCTCCTTAGCCCTAAAGACAACAGCTTTCTACAGGACAGAAGGTCTGCCGCACACCCACACACATAATAAACCCTGATGATCTCTCCCTTCTAGAGAAACCTAGGCCTGCAAAACTGAGCAAGACGAGCGGCTCCATCCCACAGATTGTCATCACAAGCGCCTCCAATGAGACCCTCAACTCCCCTGAAATCGAGCCGAAGACCATCAAGGAGTATGCCACATTCGGGCCCCTTGCCCGACACAGGAACCCCAGCACAGTGGATGCATACCATCCTGAAGACTTGGAATAAACACACGCCTCAGTGGCCGGTAGTTACTGACACAGCGGCGCTGGGCTGGGCTGGGCAGGGCCGGGTTCCTCTCAGCTACAATGGCAGGAGGGCTGCCTGTCCTGCAGGGGGCTACCAGTGTCTTAAGGCAAGCAAGTGGCCTCTCAAGGCCCAGCTCAGTCTCTCCTGTACAGGAGCAGCATGTAGCCTGGGGGGTGAGGGGGTGGGGCTGGGCAGCCTGAGTGCCTTCTGCCCACTGGCAGGCCTCAGCTATCATGCAGAAGGATGGGTGGGGCCAGCTCAGGCGCTAATCCCCCAGTCCAGTGGGCAGGCCATGTCCATCCTGGCCCCCCTGGAGCTTGGCTCTATATGCTGGAGGTTTGTGTCCTCCTACTTTACGGTGTACTGTCCGTGGATGAGAAGTACAGTGGGCCTCCAGCTCTACTGTGGCCTGACCCAGAGTACTAACGGACCCCACAAAGAATGTGGGATGTGCAGTGGGGCAGCCATGTCACCCAGAACATTGCAGGTAGCATGTCAGCACTGTTCTGGAGTGGGGAGCAGAGCCCTGGGTGGGGGGACTGGAATCTGATGCCCTTGGACATACTCCTTTAGCCTCTCTGCTTCCAACAGCAAAAGTTTGTGCCGAGGCTGCTGATGTATGGAGAGCCAATGGTCCCTGGGGGCCAGTGCTCCACAGTTACAGACAGGCGGGCCCCGGAAGAGCCCGGTGCGCAGCCTCCCACCACCCTGGGCAGCAGCTGTGTGTACATCACATACGTACACGTGTACCTATAGGCACGTGTATACACACCCCCACACACGTGGTTCCGTACAACTTCTCTGAGCGTTTTCACTTCGCAAAGCCAATCGCGGGAGGTTCGAATACTTCCAGGCAAACTAAGCTTGGAGGTACTCCGGGGAGTGGGAGGCTCCCCTGGTAACCGTTGCTAAGGGGGGGACGTCCCGGAAGTGGGCTGTCCGCGGCGTTTCGGTACGCCGTCTGCGCCTGCGCACGCCACAGCGGGGCTGGTGCGGAGCATGGGCGAGCCGGAGTTGGAGTCGGAGCAGATCCGTCTGAAGTGCATCCGGAAGGAAGGCTTCTTCACGGTGCCTCCGGAACACAGGGTGCGACGGGGAGCCGCTTGGGCAGCTGGCCGGAGGCCGGGCTGGGCGGAAGCGCGCCGGGGGGCTTGGTGTCGCGCTCGGCGCCGCCCTTTCCGGCCCGGGTGGGCACGATAGTCCCAGAATGCCTCGCAGTGGGCGCGGACCCCGGTGCTGCGCTCCCGGTCCGGGCGCCGCCTCTGGGAGGACATTGTGCAGAGGGCCCGCAGTGACGGGGCAGCTCCGTTTCCTGGCGCGGTGGGAGTGATGCGGTATTTGGCCCTTTCTGCTTCCCTTTACCGCAAGCGCCATTACAGCCCCTGTTGTAGTCGGGGGAGGTGGAGCTCTGACCCTCAGCTCACAGATAGTATTTGCAGCACTTGCTGATACTCGGGCCACCGCACTGTGGAGTAACGTCCACGGACAGAGTGGACGACAGAAGGCCTGTCAAGCAGTAGGCTTCCTGAGTGGGAGCAGGGAATGGGGACTCGGGGCACTCAGACCCCTGCTGTGCGCAATAAAGGGTGACTCGAGTCCATCGGACGGGGGATTGCCGAAAAATCCCGCTGGCGGGGTCTGGGAAAAACCTGGCGAAAGTAGCTTTTCTGCTGGTCCAGGGGAGTGAGTAGGCTTTGGTTATGTAGGGATGGTGCGGTAGTAGCAGAGGAACCTGGAGTGTGAGCAGGAGACACTCACAGAGAAAGGGAATGTGAGAAACAGCTAGGAAAGGTGAGACCTAGAACCTGTGAAGTTGAGTGGCTGGGTTCTTGTCCCTGAGGTAGCTAGCAAGTTCCAGACCTGTGTGGGTTGTAAAGGTTCAGAGGGAAAACACACGTTTAAGCCAAAACCTTATACAAGCATAGGATCACTTCACAAGCAATGACGTGGGTCCTCTGGAGAAGAACTTAGAGCTAGGGAGATGCTTGTCGTTTTTAAAAGCACAAGCAAAGGGGAGTGGGTGTGGAAGCGCTGCAAATGATCACACAACTTTCTAACTAGTTGGTCAGCCCGTCCTCGAGTCTCTTGATTTTACTCTCAGCTTTGGCACTGGATCAGCATGCTTTCGGATTTCTCTCCACCAACAGTACTGTGTCGGTATTTATTTGTGAGGCCCAGGCATCAAGGGTAACAGGCTTGCCAAGCCTGTTCTCGCAGGGTCCTCTGTTCATTCCCATTTAGCAGGCAAAAAAGTCCCTGTACTGTCCCTGTCAGTTCACTGGGGTCAACATCAGGAAGTGGCATTAGGGGCCACAAGAGGGAGGAGGCAGGAGATGAGATGAAGCTTTGCGACATATAGTTCTCAGACTTGAGATGAGCTCCAGGCCTGTGCCTTTCTGCATGAACCACCTGGTGGAGCTGTTGAGTTGATTCAGACTCATAGCACCCTGTAGGACAGAGTAGAACTGCCACGTGGGTTTCCAAGACACTAACTCTATGGCAGTAGAAAGCCTCATCTTTTTTCTGAGGTACGGCTGAAGGTTTTGAACTTCTGACCTTACAGTTAGCTCAATGTGTAACCACTATGCAAACAGGGCTCCTTCTGCTAATATAAAACCCCCAGAAACCAGTGGCTTAGGCAGAACAGACCTTTTTCTTCTTCAACTTCAGAGGTAGGCAGCTGTTTTCCACAGGGAGGGACAGGTGCTTGTTCTCTTACTGCTCCACACGCACCTCTAAATCCCTGCTTGCTTCTAGATCAGAGAGAGCCTATGTCACCCAGCTTCTGTGAGTCTGGAAGTTACAGGTGTCACTTGGCTCCCATCTCATTGGCCAGAATTGAGTCACATGGTTGCTCTTAACTACAAGGGAGGCTGGGGAATAGGGCCACCAGCTGATGCCCACATGCCCTTGGCAATGTATAATGGCCATAGGAGCGTGTCCACTGCAGTTTGGAAACGCCTTATGGAGGCCTTGGACCTTTTCCATCTGCAGAGGGCCACTAAGATAGCATACCTGCGCACTTTGTCTTCTGCTCTGTCCAGTACAGCCCCCCAGCAAGGCACATGTGGCTTTGATCACTTGAATGTGGCTAGGGTAACTGAGGAATTAAAAGTTTTTATTGACCAGTGGCCATTATTGTGGGCAATGCCATTCTAGACCATGGGATGGAAAGGGAGAGGTCATGCCAAAGTCATGAGTGAGCTTCTTGGTGCAGCTGACATGATAAGAACCTCTCTGCAGTGCTTCTGTCAGCTGCAAGACCCCTACCCCCTCACCCACCCCACCCCCCGGCAGCAGGGCAGCATGTCTCTCTCTTTTAGCTGGGACGATGTCGGAGTGTGAAAGAGTTCGAGAAGCTGAACCGGATCGGGGAAGGCACCTACGGCATCGTCTGTGAGTGGCCGGAGCCGTGGCTCTGGGGTCTGGTGTGTCTGGGGCGAGGCTGTGTTGCAGTAGCAGCAGTTGTGGTGGGAACGGATGGGACTTATGCCCAGACACCACGAGGAGGGCAGACAGATCTGCATCCTGGTCATGAGACGGCCCTCCCATAACTAGTGGTCAACGTCCTGGGCGAAAGCATCACTGGGCACAGGGGCCAGCTCAAGTCAGGAGAAGTCAGGGAGCATGCAGTAGTGGGATAGGGGTACTGTCGCCCAGTGAGGCAGGGGTGCCACTAGGCATCAGAGTTGGCTAGATACAGAAGCCAACCCTTACCTGGCCAGAACCAAAGCTCTGGCTTGCCTGGGAGCAGTGTGTCACACGAGGGAGGTCATGAGGGGACTGGGGTGGCCTCTGCTATCTGCACATGGGCTTTTGTTCTAGATCGGGCCCGGGACACCCAGACAGATGAAGTCGTTGCCCTGAAGAAGGTGCGGATGGACAAAGAGAAGGATGGTGAGTGGGGGCTGAGACCGGCCAGGACCTCACAGTGGGGATCGAATTGTGTTAAATCACTCAAAGGCTTGCTCAGAACTGAGGCCTCTGGGAAGCCCCGTCGAAGAGTTTCTGCAGAGTGGCTAGGAGGGCTCCCACTGGTCCAGCCCAGCCTGCCCCCAGCCCTGGGCACACCCACGGTGAGATGAGGGGCTCAGTGAAGTGAGGAGGAGGAGAAGGTGCGGTGAGGGCCGTGCGATGAGGCACATGGATTTGAGGCAAGGTAAGGAGTGGTGATGTGTGAGCTGAGAGGCGTGGTCAGATAAGGTGAGGTGCAAGCCCCAGAAGAGGGTAAGGCCAAGTGAAGTGAGGGGTGGGCTGGTGAGGAGAGGTGCACCGAGGCTGGTGAAGGCTGGTGAGGTGTGTAGTGCAGTGAAGCACGGTGAGATAAGACCTTAACCTGCCTCTTCCCCATCCCCTCAACCAACTCTCTCAAGTCCTGCTGGCACGCCTATGTGGAGTGTGTCTCATGCCCCTCTGCTCACCCTTTGGCACCCCCTGTTGTCATGAGGTGGAGAACTTGCCCCGTTCACATGCCCCACACAGGCTAGGACAGCGGGGCTGATTTTCATGAGGAAGGAAGGGCTGGAAGTGCTTTGTGGGGATTGCCCCTTT